TTTTACTGCTGCATTCCATTAGTTTTTTTGTTTTCTCCTAGGTCCATGATCTATCTAGTCTCTGGTTCTTGGGCATCCAAGCCATGTCGGGCATGGGTTCCATCTCATGGAGTGGGCCATATCCACTCAGATAGTGGTTGGTTACTGCCATAACTTTTACACCTGCATATCATACAGGCAAGTCACCATTGTATATTGAAGGGCTTGTAGCTAGGTAGATGCTTGCTGTTTTCCTTTGGTAATGTGTAGCATACCTTCCAATACCATGGATGGATACGATTCAGTAGGGGTGGAGGCTCTAGGTAGGCACTAGACCAACTCCTCTGTGTTCAATGAGTTACATAGGTGTTGTCCGGAATAGAGCCTTATCCTCAAATGTGAGTATTCTGCAGTCTGAGAAACCACAAATTAATTTACATTGGAGCATCACTTTTGAGTTCAAAACTGGATGCTCTTCCAGTGACATCAAGAAGTATTATGGCCGGGCGGTGGTGGCGCACGCCTTTAATTCCAGCACTTGGGAGGCAGAGCCAGGAGGATCTCTATGAGTTTGAGGCCAACCTGGGTTACCAAGTGAGTTCCAGGAAAGGTGCAAAGCTACACAGAGAAACCCTGTCTCAAAAAAAAAAAAAAGAAGTATTTTGGAGTAAATTTTCTGTGGGGCATTGCCTGTCGTCTTCTAGCAGTTTGTTTTAGGATTCACAGAAACACTGAAGTCCTAAAGTGAGCTCACTTGAAAGCTCATTTACAATTTCCCTCATCTACAGTTCTAGCTTCCTTGATGCTTCGTCTTGCCAGTCACACTTCTGATCTCGATTTCCTTTTCCCACCACTTACTTCTGAAATTAAGTATAAATTCAATATGGCTCGTTCTTGTCTTCTTGTCTATTAAAGATAACAGTGTTGACCCTTGGCAACAACCAAAAAGCCCAATCAATATGTCTATGGTTTTCTGGCAAGATTCCCCACTGGTCTCCGATCCAGCCTTCCTATCCCCACCTGGTCCACACAAAACAAAAATGTGCTGCTGGAGATCCCAGCTCACAGTAGCAAGTCCACTAAAGACAAAAGTCTTCCACAGAAGGAAGGTGAGAGGTTTTCCCAAACTAACCGTAACCGTTACCATAACAAGACTTGAAAACAGGCCATAAAAACCATGAAGACACTGACAGCAACTTTCTTCAAAGCTGCCAAAACTCAGACACCTGAAATACCCTGTGGTAGATAAATGGAAGAGCATTCTTTGGTACATCCAGAGAGTATTCTTTTTCAGAGCTAAAAAGAAATGAGAAAACAAACCGTGAAAATGCATGCAGGTAACATTAAATGAGTGTTACTCACAGCAGCAGCCAATTCAGAGCGTAACATTTAAGTCACAGATTTCAACTATGATATCACAGCAAAAGAAATGCTCAGGAGACAGTTAAGAGTCACACTTGCCAGGGGGTGGAGAGCTGGGGATGAAGAGGCAAAGCATTGGATTTTCAGAGCAGTAGCAATACTGCACTGTAATACTGTCATACACATTAACCTAACCCAATGAGTCTAAATGTAAATCATGGGTGGTGACACAATGTCAGTGGCCTTCATGAACTGCTGTGGATTAATATGGTAGTGGATGTGACTATGGGTAAGGATAAATACTTGTGGAGATGAGTGAAATTCAAAACCTCGTACCTTTTTTCCCCAATTAATATTGTTGATCCCCAAACTACTCCAAAATATAAATAAATAAATAAATAAATAAATAAATAAATAAATAAATAAATAAATAAATAAATAAATAAATAAATGACAGGTATAGAGGGAAAAGAGAAGTGATGCCCAGGCATCAGAGCTCTCTTCGTGAGCCCTTGACTTCCCACCATTACCTGTATCTCCAATGGGGCTTTGCTCGATACTGAGTTCTCAGACCTTCATGTTGGAAGTTGGTGCACCTGAATGTTAAGATTCTCTAGAAAGAAGGTGCTTGAAGTCTGATAATTTGTGGAAGTTGGTAACCAATTTTGAGCCAAAAAGGAGTAAGTGACCATCTGATATATTACTACAAAGTAACATTTAAATCACTGAACTTTTGAGAAATAAGTCAAAGTATTTATTTATGACATATTTACATACTTACAAAATTGATTTCCTCCAATACATCACTCTACATAATATCACAAAATGAATACAATATCCTAGGAAAAATCTATATTTCATAATAATTTATGTTTAACTCAACAACTTTTACAACAGATTATCAATTTGGCTTCACAAATCACACAGTCCTTATTTTTTTTTTCTTCTTTTTGCCAAATAACAAGAGTAAACTAAAGGGCAGGTTGAAGTAATTTAGTTGACCCTGAGTAACTGCTAATTTGCATAATTGAGAATGTACTTTGTGTGCTTTCATTTTTCTTATAGACCTACACTTAAGACGGCAGTATCTTATCTTGGAAGACTGAGGGAGGAAGAATGAAAAATGACGGCAAGGGAATCAGTAGAGAGAACTCCCAGTTTCTAAAGCTTTTCCAAGTTCAGAAGCCCACGGGAGAGCTTCAGTCCAGAGTTGTCTCAAAAACTGAGTAGGGACCTGGGGCTGGGGCTGGGGCTGGAGCTGGGGGGCCCTTCAGTAGAGCATTTGCCTAGAGTAAATGGGGCTCTCAGCTCCACACCCAGCATTGTTACAAATAAACCAAGCCAGAGCAAAACAAGAAAAACAACAAAAACTGAACAGGAGGATCTTGGAACTAAACAGTTGAGCAATCTCCTGAGGCTGATGTTAAATTACTTTTCCTGCTTTATTTTCCTACTGATAAAAATAAAAATTCAATAATCGGTAGGAAAAAAACCACAAAAGCCACCTCCATAACAATGGTGATTTTTTTTTCCCTAAAAGGTTTAAAAAATGCAACAGCCCCCCGCCAGCTCCCTAAAAATGTCAGTGTGGAAGTTAACACAGAAGCAGGCAGGAAGAGAAAGGGTGCAGGGACAGAAGGGCCGGGAAGGGAACCCGGGCTTTGCACTGGCCACGCCCCATGCAGACTGAGCAGGGGAATCCCAGGATGACCATGGTTAGGGAAGATGAGCCGGTGGAGCCAGCCCAGCTCTGACATCCTCCACAGAGAATTCTGGGCCAGAACGAACTGTCTACAGAGAGATCAGATTGGATCACACAGTTCTCTCTTCCATCCACCTTTCTCTCCTCCTCTGCCCCTCCTCCCAGAAGGCAGACTAGGGAACAATTATCCAGTTAATTACCCAGTTATTAAGCCATGGCGTAAGTCTGCCACTGTTCTTTAGAACTCAAGAAAAACAATACCCAATGAGATGTTGGTGACATCCTGTGATTCTACTGGACCGACCCTCTGAAACAGTAACTAAGACAATGTAGACTCAGTAAAACAGTGAAGGGAAAAATAGGGTACCTTCAGGACCTGTAAAATTCACTTGTCTTTGAAGTATAATAAAACACTATCATTCGGCAGTGCCCCATCAAATACTGCTGGACAAGGACAGTCCCCCCTCCACCGTGTGTGTGTGTGTGTGTGTGTGTGTGTGTGTGTGTGTGTGTGTGTGTGTGTGTGTGTGTGTGTGC